TTCGTTTTATTTAGCAAAAATTAAATGTAATTTTAAAATTCTATTTCAATTAAACAATAAGGTACGAGTATCTAACATATGTTTTCTTTTTAAATCAAATAAATTTAAATTTTCACATAAATGTACAAGTGCAGTGTATATGAGGTAAATGTGTGAGTCTGTTCAGAGTAAATTATATAGATTTTGTAGTTAAAAACTCTTAGTAAACGCCTCCCCAGCACAAACGCAAAAGAATTGCAATTTCTTCTACTTGAAGCAGCTAAAAATCACATAAAATTAAAATTTATTGAAAGAAAAATAATAAGTGGCATTGCCAAACTGCATACAACCACTGCCTGCGACAGATATAAGCACGAAAGCAGGGGACTTATATGTCTTTAGTTATATGCAAGCAAAAGTCATAATTTGCTTTTCCCTATAGACAATATTTTCTAATGCTATTTCTCTTCTAATTAATTTTGTTCTGTTAAAATTGCAATGCACTTTTCCTTGATGCAAATAACGTTTTATGTTTATGGATCTCATAATAATTTATTTCTGCTCTAATTCCCAAATACCATATGTGTGTTTTACTTCTTGAAATAGAATTACTATCAATTTTTTATATATCAGCACTTAAAACTAAATTCAATCTCCTCATATATGTAACTCTCTATCTACTCTACCCAACTAGTGCCAATATATATAACCATAATTTTTGAGTTTTGGATGCTTAAGCATCACCTTACGGCATATCCAACATTTATCGGTTATATCGCACCTGGAATCGGCATAAAATTCCACAGTTTTCTGATTAAGTGTGGATAACTGACGTTTCACATTCAGTAGTGAAGAGGACACACGATGGTCTAACTTATCAACCATACGATCATCCATAAGCTCAATATGTGCAGCATGAGTTATAATACGATTGCCTTCTTCTGAACCGGAACGCATACGACTTGCAGCACGACTCGAACGCGCTATGGTTTGTACTAAGAAATCATCTTCTTCTTTTTTGGCGGTTTTCATATTACGTTCCGATTCGGAGAGTAGGGCTTGAGCAATGGCTGAAGCCGATTTACCGCGAATTTGTCTTTTAAACTCATTTGACATTCTAGCACAATCATTATCGAGCTCCATTTTACGTATACGTTGGAGTATTCGTATGGTATCACGGCGTATTATATCCTCTAATTCCTCCTGACGACGGCGACGACGTTCGCGAGATCTATCTAAAATAGTATCCGGTTCGATATGCTTAGTAACACGCGATGCGTCCGCGAGCTTCTTTACACTAAATGGTGTACGCTTTTTTACGCGAAAATCTAGCAAAATTTCATCAGCTCTTGCAGCACATTCACGCGAAAGACGTATTATCTCGTCGGTCGTATATGTACGTACGGGTACAGAGGAATGATATTGTTTAAGGCCACGCTCACTTGTCCACGGTAAATGTGGCAATGTATCGGTATGTAAACCTTTTGCTTTTGCATCTAAGTAGTCAAGCATAGGCTGATAATAATTCATAGTGTAGCCATAATTGTCCTCATAGGTGGATTGTCGCATGTGGCGGGTACGGGCGGGACGTAAACTATAAGTTTGTGCCATTATGCTCAGAGAGGGATTCTGTTTTATCGGTTAGTATGTATATAGTTAGATTAGTTGTTGTCTCTATTGTGTCTATATGTGTGTTTGTGTTATTTTGAAAGGGTGCCTGTTTTTGCTGACAATTAATGTTTTTATTGCCAAACTGATTGATCGATCGAAGTGAAGTATATGTACAAGTAGATATATATGTATAACTGTTTGCTTGTTTCGCTATGTATTTTACTACAATTATTTATATTTTACTATTTGTACTTAACATAGAAAATCAAAAGATACAATAGAAATATTTGTAGTGCGTGCTATTGTTGCCTTTGTCTTTGCCTGTAGTTTTCTTCTCGATTTTCTTTTCGGACTGACGTTTTTGGCCTGTGGTTGCGTCTTTTTGTTGACGGTTTGTTTTCAGCAAACTAAATATTGTACTTGTAGAAATCTATAAAAAGATTTGTAGTACTTTTAAGTTCATTTCAGTGCTACATAGTTTCAGTTAAAGTCAATGTTTTTCTATGATTGATAAATGTATTTCGGTATTTGCTTAGAATGTCATAATATAGTTGCTCTTTATGCAACATTACTTTGCAGTAGAGATGATTAAGTTGATTAAAATATTAAATTGATATTTAGAGAGAAAAATCGAAAATGATATAAAAATAAAATAATGAAAATATATTTACATTTTATCAAATAAATTAAAAATATATATAAATACATTTCTAATACTTAATAAAAGTCTTCTAGTACCCGTATATTATGTCAACTAGACAACCGAAATATTCTTTATTTTTGTATACCTTTCTGATTCCATAATAGACAATATTTAACACTTCAATCGTAAGTTGGCCTCAAAAGGTATTTACTTTGAAACCGTATTCCGAACCTTTTGCGTTATTAGAAAATTCTCTACTTTTCAGATATGCAAAATTCTTGATTGTGTAATCAATTATTTCTTTTCACTCTAAAATAAAATTTTTTTTAAATAATTAATTTGAACTTTTATTTAATTTCTGAAACAGAACTTACTTTTTCAGTTTAATAAGTTTTAAATAAATTATTAAAAATATTCAAAAATAATTGCCACAAATTCACTGCACTTTTCGTCTTCTGAATTGATTAGTCTAAGGCAATTTCAAAACAATTAATCAATCGAACATTTGCAGTCGAATATATCTTTCGAACTGATTTTTTTGGGGTCAGCCTGATAAGAACTACATTCGACTTCCTGGCACAATTAGAAGAAGAGAATCAATGTTTTATCAATTTTCTTTTATCAATAAAAACAAATTACACTCAGGAAATGCAGTTCTGTTTAGTTAAAAGATTTTCACAGACGGAAAAAACATTCGATTGATTGGCCTTCAAGTGTCAATACGATCAACACAATTCAGATTTGTACTGATTGATTTTTTTACAGTGTAACAAGCAAGACATTCATTTTGAAGTGTATTGTAAAAAGAAATATATTTCCATATTTGTGAATTTAAAAAAAATTATTTTAAAACTATTAAAATTCTAGAAATATTATTATTATATTATAATTAATATTGATACATTGAAAATATTTAACAGTGTTGGAGAGGAACTTCTTTGCTCCCAAGGATATAGTCTCTTAATTTTATTATGTGAACAGTCAAAAAGAAGAAACAGAGAATCTCCATGCTATTATTGCGTTCCTTATATATTTATAAATAATAATATTAATATTTAAATAATAACTTATAAACACTTTATATGAATTTTGGCGCTTCAGCTGTATAAATTGTGTTAGCATAAAGATATTTAAGAGTAAAATTTATTTTCCCTGAAAAATTGAACTAATCAGTGGATTCACTTTATGGGAAATTTTTTTATAAAACGGTTTATTCTGTATACACGAATATGTTAGGTTTGGTTAATCGGACTGGCCCTAAGCCTTACATAGACATAACAGTCTCTTATGATAACAGACAGAGTCAAACTTCTTTAAATTTGTAAGAGAAATCATATAGGTTGTCCACGTTTTTGGTGATTTGAAAAATTAATTGAAGCTTTATACCTGAATTATGTCCAAGTTTCCAAATTGTATAGTCTCCAAAAACTTTAAATGTGCTTTTAATGGAATGGTTCATAACTATAAAAGGTGCTCCAAAGTTTCGAGCCACCTTAATTTTCTACTCATGCCACTATTGGCTGGCCTATGATAGCTCCACAATTTTGAAACCCTGTTATATTTCATATATAAATTAGACAAAAAGAAAATAAAATAAGGCAGTTACGTTTATTTTAGATCTTAACATTATTTTTACAAATCAGTAATGAAGGATATGGTTGCATTAGGATCAAAAATTCTTTCCAAAATTACATGAAGCCAGTACATGAAGTATTAAAATTTTTTCCGCAGATATAATTAAAATCAAATCCTTTTGAAAAATAGTTTAATGACTTATTATGTGGGGTAATATATATTTTTCTATTAACTTTTAACTTTTAAGATACGGGCGCCCCCAAACGAGTATATTCTATTTATTATATTAATAAATGTAATTTGGGGAAATTACTCACTAGTAAAAATTAAAATTTTTATGGAAAATCTTGTAGTAGTGTACTAACTATATTAATTTAACGATCCTTAAATCGATGCTTACAGATTTGTTATTACAATTTAACGTCACAAATCTTAATATGTACCTATGAAATACACTGCAAAAAAGTACTTATTTTTTTTATTCGTAAATTATTATTCTTCAATAATAATAAGTGATGGTAATTTTTAGTCAGCACTATGGATATCTGTAGGTACACTTAAAGTACTTACTACACTTTGACATATAGAAGAAATGCTATATTATGCTGCTATGTTATACCGTTCCAGCAATTAAGGGACTTGTTACTTCTCGTACTATTTCTTTAAATTTTTTCTTTAGTATAGGTCTGCTGATATAGATATAATATCATTTAACTGATGATATACGATCATAATATTATTATTAAAGATAAATAAAGTTAATTTTATTTAAAGAAAAATTATTATTAAATCAAACCAAAACATTAATAATTTGTACTACATACATTATAAAATAAAATTAAAAACTGGAAAATTTATTCCAAATACGTAAATAGATTACACAATTCCTATAATGAGACTGGTAATTTTTTGGAACACATTTATATCGATTAAACAATCCTATATCTTATTAGGTATGCCAAAATATAAAAATCTTTTGTTTTCCATATATGGAATATGTTGTATGTATATTTTATTTTTTTTATTAAAACCCTTTATCAAACCAGTAATTATAAAAATATGTTAAATAGCCCAATATGATCTATTCTATTATATGGAATTATTTTTGTCTTAATTGTCTTAATTGTCTTAATTGTACTTCTTTAAACTCCAAATTAATTTTTTCATAAACTACATAAATCTCTTAACTTACCGAATAGCTTCAATTTCTTCATCTTTCTCAGCCAAGCGGCGTTCAGCATCGTGACGGTATTGATTGAAGTCAGCGGACAAGCGTTGAGCACGTTGTTCCTCAGCCTTGCGACCCTAAAATTTATATTAGTTTTGTTTTAAACTTTGAATCATAAAATTAGTATATTTTCTTAGGACTTACAGCTTCAGCTTCCTTGTAGGCAGCAGTCAATTCATCGCGTTCATTTTCAAGACGACGAAGTTCAAGTTCCAATTCGTGCAAGCGACGGTTCATTTCGTTAATGGCGCCCTTAGCATCATGGAGATCATCTGTAACAATTAATTTGTATTATTGTTTATTTTATTAATTTTGCTTAATTTTTTTGTTAAAGCTTACCTCCTAATTTCTTGTTCTCACGTGCCAATTGTCCATTAGCATCCTTAACCTTTTCCAATTCATGAATTGTGCGTTGCAAATCGGCTTGCTTGTTCTTCAAATCGCGTTGAGAGTTCTCGAACAAAATGATGGTTTCTTCCAAACGGCTCTTCAATTCGACATTATGTTTCTCCAATGTGTTAACAGATTTTGTCAATTCGCGGCATGTATTATTAGATTTCTCTAAATCGATGATAAGTACTTCAACTTCGCTGGCCAAACGTGTCTTTTGTTTCTCCAAATTGTTAACCTTAACGATGAGGGTTTCAATGTGTTCTTCGAGCTCGGTGATGCGCACTTGATATTTGCGACGAATTTCTTCACATTCCTCAGCACGTGCTGCTGCTTCGGCTGTGTATTTGTTTTGCCATGAAGTAGCATCAGCATTGGCCTTGACCAACTGACGTTCCAAGTCAATACGTGCTTCAGATTCTTCTTCGAGTTGAAGACGAATCGATTCCAATTCGGTTTCAACTTGATGAAGTGAAGATTCTAACATTGAACGACGACGGTCTTCATCTTCCAAACGACGGCGTGCATCTTCCAATTGGGAGATAACTTGACTCTTGGAATATGAGACAGTGTCCAATTGAGACTTGAGATCTTGGACGTCCTTGATCAATTCAATGTTCTCTTGTGAGAGGCGAGTTTTATGTGAAGTGATATCGATAACAGTACGATTCAATTCTTCGATTTTAACATGCAATTCAGAAATTGTTATATCCAACTTTTCAATATGTTTGCTGGTAACAATTTTTTCCTTATTGTATGATTCGACTTGGCTGAGCAATTCGTAAACTTCAGCTTGGAATTTGGCTTTCTCCTTTTCGGCTCTAAATTTAGTTTTTTTAAGAAATAGAGATATAATTATTAATGTTTTATAAAAGTTTTTATATGGAAATGTACAATATATTATAAATTTATACTTATGTTAGCGCAAGCATTAATAGCGTTTTAATTTTAATATATGCCGGAAGAAATCTTCTAGACGATCCACGGTAGGAATAGTTTTCGGTTTTTATATTTATATACATATATACGAATATATATCTATATAAATTATAAGCTAGAATGAATTTATGCTTAGTAAAATTTGCAAATTTCTATGATAAAAAAGTATTTTTTATTGGTGGAGAAAGTCTTTTTCGGAATTATGAAATTCATAGACATATTTCCGAAAATGTGAAAAAGCTTAATTTTGTGCTTTATGTGCTTTCGTTAAAATAAAATTAAATAAAAGTTTTAACTAAGCAAAATTGATATGTGAAGATACAAAGCTTTCTGGTCAACACATTTCCATAGAATTAAGCTTGTATTTATAAATATTACCTATTCTTTTAATTAGTATGGAGATATAATATATTAATTGGACTTAGTAATATTCTTTTTTGAGAATAATATAAAATTCTCTAAATTGCATCAACAAATCAAAAATTTTGAGTTATCAACTCAACATATATTTAGCATGTTATAGTGATATAAAAATACTACTTTATTATCGTGATACATTATTAAGGACAAGGCAAAAAGCTAAATGAACTTTTATTAATAAAAAGTCTTCTGTAAAATATTATTGGTTATATAGAAGTTAAAAAACTTTTAATTTGATGTTAACAGCAACAAGTAAAAACCAACCAAAGCAATCTAAGACCGGATCAGTCGACCGGAGAGGGTAAGATATCTGTACTTAAGTAAGCACTTAATTTACTTTTATTATTATTAATAAAAGAAGTGATTGTGCACTGCGACATAAAAGATCTATTGTGCCCCTTAGTCGGATTAGGGTGTTTACCCAAGTCCGATTTTTTTAATGAAAGACAGTATAGAGCCTATCTTTCCTAGTCTTGAATCCTTATGATCCTTGAAATATCCTCCTAGGTGTTTCTTCCGCTTGTGAAGCATCTAGTTTAATATTTATTTATTATTTTTATAACAGAAAAATAATATAAAATATAGCGTTTTTAGTGCTTTCGAAGGATTAAATTAGATAAAGTCACCAAAAGTGAAAAAGAAGAGATTTTTTTCTATCTAGATAACATACTGTGCTATATAAAGATTGTGAAATTATATGAACTATGTATTGAAATACCGCTGCTTACGATATATTTGAAAGACTCTTAGAAACAATAGGATAAAAAATGTTTAATAATATTTACTGCCAAAATTGAAAATTTTCTCATCGCAAAGCTGTCTCACTTTCTCATCATTACATTTATATTCCAATCAAATGCAACTTAACGAATACAGTGCTAGATAACTGTACTAAAAAGACAATAAGTATTCTCTTTATATGGTAGTTTTACTCACAAGTAATTATTTTTATGTTTAATGTATTGAAATTTAAATAATTAAGTACTAGCTAAGTATACTGCAATATGGAATGAAAAGCGTATGACAAAAAGTGCTAGGTACTGGCAGCAAAAATAACCAATATAAACAAGAAGAATATATTTTTGTAAGTCTATGTATTTTTGATATTTTAATATGTATTTAAAATCAAAGTGAAAGGAATATACGTAAATAAGAATAACTACATAATGTATTTGGTTCAGATCATGTCTCTTTAAATTTTTTAAGTCTTTTATTTTAGTAGATAAATAATGCTTAATAAATTCCTCAATAATTAAATTTTTTTTATAATATAAAAAAAACTCAAAATAGTTTTTCAAATTAAACTGTCAAAGCAAACTGATTTTAAAGATCTCTAAAAAAGTTCTACAACACTAACATATAATTTATCATAGAAATTTATATTATATTTTACTAAGCATTTTAAATAAAAATAGATATATTTATATTAGAACAAAGTTAAATAATATACATTATTATAAGCTGTGGAATTTATTTTAATATTTAATTTAGTTAGTTTTCCATTTGTGTGGTATGTACGCTATGTTATATGCATATTCTATGGACTGAAGTGATGTTATATGAGATCTGAATACATTGATTATTCGCATGATAATGATTCTACGGTGTTGAGGTGAACATAAGTCAACGGCAATCGCTGACTTTTTATTGGTATTTAGGAAATTCAAAGAAAATACCAATCTTCATAAATATTCTCCTTGTTTTCCACGTAAAAAGTATCGAATTTCCGTAAAGGTGAATTGGTCAAAAAGAGACAACAACAATAATAATCATATAGGAATGCGTCTCATACATAGTTAAACACTTAGAAAAAATAATTCAATCAAAGACATATTTGGATAGTCGGAGCAAATTGAGAGAAAAACAAAAACAACAACAACGACGGCATAATAAAAATCACAAGAAAAAAAATAAAATAAAAAGAAATTGTAGAAAAATTTTAAAATTTTTTTCTAAAAATAAATGCAAATTTTCAACATCATATGTTTTATCATTTTTTGTAAAAACAAAAACAAAAACAAAAAGAAGAAAAAGAAATATAGCAAAAACATAAAAGCGAATAAATTCAAACACACAAAAAAAAAAGATTTGCGTGAGAAAACAATGAAGAAAACGCGGAAAAGTGCTGCCGCACACAAGCAAAAAACAAAAAGAAAATCAGTGTGAAATGAAAATAAAAAGCTCCGTCGATCAAAGAAGCGAGATAAATCGTGAACTGCGGCTAACTACATACGAATTGCTAATGGGCGTGGGAATTGGTCAGAGTGAATAGAATTGCTGGTAGAAATCATTGAACATTTGTCAACGGAAATGCGCAAACTCTAGCGAAATATGCACAAAATTTTCTATATTTTTTTCACTTTTGCTTAGAAGTGGAAATTAAACTACGATTTTTTGTTGTTGGAAAATCAGAGTTACTGCAATTCACACTATTTTAACTTTGTTAAGATCATCATAATTGACCTTAGCTTGATATGCCTAATTAATAAAAATACATAAAAGCTTATCACAGTCATTAGCTTTATAACTGCGCATACTCTATGAGCAAAATCGGTTAATCTATTAGATTTAAACTCAAAATTTAATCAGAAAATATTTACCTAAATGCTCAAATTTTAGCCTTGAAAAAATCTTATAAATCTCTTAAGAACATTTGAATATGAATTTATTTTTGGAATTTGGAAATATGAGATTTTAAAAGCTTTAACAAAATTGAAAAAATGAAAAATAAAAAAAAAATTAAAAAAAATTATGTTTTATAATTTTTGTATAAATATTTGAAATTTAACATAATTAAATTAAGTGTATTCTATAAAATAACCTATTAAAAATATATATAATTTAATTATGCTTGCAATTTTTTTTTCGCTTAAATGTAAGACATTTTTCTTGGCTTCTACTGCTGAATTAACGAAATAGTAATTTTTGTGTAATAAAAACAAAATTATATTATAAACAAAAATTCATAAAAATGCCGACATAAATATTCCGAGAGTTTTTAATACTTGTACTACAAAACTTTAAGTAACATTGACCGACTTTTACATGTGAAGAATTGCTTTTGCTATTATAGATACAGAAATAATAAAAAATGTATATATGTATATAAAAAATTATACGAAATTGTAGGTTAAATATGTAGAAATGTCTCTATATACTATGGAAGAAGTGTAAAAATAAATAATGTTTTAAGCAGAAATTATATTAAAACATGTTGAACATCATTTATAATACGGAAATAGTGATTATCTGTACATTTGTTATAATGTAAGTCATTTCATTTCAAGTATATAGAAGATTTTGTTATTACGAAAAACATACGCCCCTCTTTCGACTATAATACATTTGGAAACAGTTTTCAGCTACTAAAGTTGTGATGTATATGTATATGTATGCTATATGAGGTGGGACTATGAAACGATGGAACAAAAGAAGTTTATATCTTTAAAAACCACTGAAGATGTATTATTTATATATTCTTATACCCAGTTCAGCAAATTTAGTTTTAAACTAAATATAAAAACTAATCTTTTAATATATATATAAAAATGTTTAGATGTTCGAAGATAGTTTGAACACAGAATTATAATTTCTCTATATAATGATTGGATGTTTCTAATGAATATAAGAATTATATTAGAATATAAATATTCTAATAGGTTTTAAAATCAGTTTTAATGTGGAATTCCCTTGAAATTTGTTATTAACGTATATGTTAAATATGTTAATTTTTGTATATGACGGTTCTTTAATTTTAATGAAGATATCTAAACATATGGATGTTAATTCAAATGTGTTTGAACACATATTATATTGTAATATATTGTATTAATTTTATATATGAAGATTGAATGATTTTAATAGATATAGTAAGATATTTTGATATCTCTCTAATACATTCCAGGTATAGTTTTCAAATAGAATTACTGTTAAATTTGTTATTAACATTAATTAAATGTATTTATGGAAAAATTGCTAATACTTTAATAGTGCAAATTCAATATATGGAACTGTTTTATTATTTCAAAAAGTGTGATGTACATTCTATGTAAAAAGTATCTGGAACTGTTGAATAAAATCCAAAAAATCTGTTTGTTAAAATTTATAAATAAATTAAAATTTATTTCGTTGTTCTTAAAACAGATCCCATTCCAAGTGAAAATTTCTTGGAATTATGGTATATAATATAAAATATGGCCAATCAATTAATTTTGTCTTGAAACTAGGTCTACTTGACTGCTCTACAACTTTATCACTGATCGGCTTAATCACTCATATATTCTTTGTAGGTTGAGTGAAGAATGACCTTTAACTGTTTTTGAGATTTTTTGTTCATGATTGGTTTGAAATACAGTCCGAAGCGATACTTTTGGAAAGGGAGCAGAACTGTGGCGATATCTTTTACACTCGTTTTTAAAATTAATAATTCTGGGTACGTTTTACTCAAAAGTTAAAGTAACAGAAATACGTAAGATAGTTAACAACTATTTTTTTCGAAGTGACAATAAATACAATGTTAATTAATTAAAACTCCTAGACACATTATAACCCATTAATTAATTTTAAATTGAAATCAAATATAAAGAATTTTTATTAAAATCTCAGTTCTTTTGTGGTCTCGAAAACTGAAGGATATAGCATTAAAAAAGTAACAACTGAAAGAATATTATATGGATTCTTAAATTTATAGTCCATAGTTTATTAAGGATTTTATGGCTTTATATAATTCCAGTGATATAATTTAATAAAAAAATCTAATTAGTCATGAGTTAGTCATGTTGTAATAATAATGAATATATATGTATGTATATGAATATTGTCCTTCAATTCATTTTGAAGAAATCTTAGCATCCAAGCGTATATGCCTGCTTAGTAATAATATATTTTTTTAAAGAAATGAATCCATGAATAGCTTAACAGCGGCCTAAAAATATGTTAATAATATATTCCGTAAAAATGGTTTTCAAAAGACTCGATTAGTGAAAAAATTGTTTTTATATTTTTTATATATCATTAATCTTTTCACAGCAAACAATCTCTTGATTGTTACATGACTGAAGCAAAAAAATATTCAAATATTTACCTAATAGATTTATATAAATTAAATATAATGGATAGATCGTGAATACCAATTGTAGCCAATAAAAGATCTGGCTTAGCTAATACTATAATTACATTCACAATTATCGAACCTCAGTAGTACACTTTTGTATGAATTTTATATTAAAAATATGACATTACTGTACATTTGTTCAGGTTATTTTGAAAGTAAAAATTTACTTAAGAAATGACCTCAATGTGATAAAATGATTTTGGAGCACGGTAGATATTTCAAGCTTTAAGACTTTAAAGACTTTTATAATTTCTTTTAAAAATATTTTGGAACACAATTAAAAAAAAATAATAAATAATGGTTAGGTTTCAAATCATATGAAATGGTTTATATATGCACCTCAACAAACGATTTAATAGGAATGATGATTTGTGTATTTTTATAAGAATTACGTATATTTAATTTATTATTGATATATTGCATTAAGCTGTAAGCTTTACATTAATTTTTATTTTTTTTTTAATTGCAAACAATCAAACTTACCTAGCCTTATTTTTCGTTAGGATTTCAACTTGTTCTTGGAAATCAGTAATAATTTCGTTGTGCTTCTTCTTAAGAAGCATGGCGGTTTCTTCAGATTCAAGATGAACATCTTCAAGCATTTTGCGCAATTTCATTAATTCAGCATCGCGCTTACGATTGGCTTCAAACTTTAATTAATTATAATATTTAGATATTAATTCTATATATCTAAAAAGAAAGAATTTTAGAGAATTACTTACTTGAACTTCGCAACCACCTTCGGCTTCCTCAAGACGTTCGGACATTTGAATGACCTGAACGCTAAGATCAGCTTTCTCGCGTTCAATCTGAAATTATTTGAAAATCTTAATCAGTAAAGGTGTGATTATTTTTTTATAAAATATTTAACATTTTAATATATATATTTAATGTGTATATTGTAAAAAGTTGGAAATTTGCAAAAAAATAGTTATCAACTAATAAAAATTTAATTATATTTTTTAAATCCACTTATTCAATTTATGTTCATTGGTATGATACATGGCTTCTTGGCTTTATTTCCTACAAAAAAATGTAGTATACCTAATAGCGATATTATATAGTACCTAAACTACCCTGGCATAACCTAATATCAATGATTCTGATGTTTAAATTTATATTAATAAGATATATTTCTTTATTACCAGTAAATTAATTTCAACTTTGTTGTAAGACAATATTATTAACATATTATCTTAACATGGTAAAGTGAGCATTGTAGTGGCCTAAACTAAAAGTTTTGACTCATACGGATCCAATTGTGTTATATCAAATCTGTTAGTATCATAATTTTTATTGGGAAGAAAAATATTAAATTAAATGCTAAATTATATTAAAATTAACCAATATTTTATTATTATTACTTATTATAAAAAAATCTATAAATATTGACTGAATACGATTATATGCTAACCATACATGATCTCTATCATTAACAATCCAAGATTGGAAAAAATGGAACCTGAGTGGTTCCATGAATATAGTTTACGACTAATACGATAAATTCAAAATTCAATTACTTTGTATTTGGTTATGCAAACATATACACAGAACGTCAATAAATAGCTATAATATTAAAGTGTAGATGTCAAAGAACTTATGTCTATAATGATCAAATAAAGTTGCTAGATATATAGCATCTAGTTATACATAAAATCGATATTAGTTTTAACTTCTTTTTAATGTAGCTTTTTCCAATTTTTTAAACTTAATCACTACTGATATAATCATAAATAGATAAAGAGTATCTAATAGGTATTTTAAAATACTCTTTTTATATCAAACATGTTTAAAATCTAATATCTAATTTAACCGTAGGAACCACTGTGATATTTAATATTTTTTTATCAATTTAACATAGATCTTAGGCTTTGTTTCATATATATTATGTATTCTGTTGGACTGCGAGGTGTTCTGGCATAACACATAAACTAGTATGATCATATTTTATGTATGCTTCTAATTTTCGTAGACAATAAACTATATAAAAATATAATTGTTATATGAACTCTGTACATGTTGGTCATACTATAATAATATTTTAATTATATAAAAAAAAAAATTTATGAATACATGAAAACACATGTTATTGAAAACCGCATTTACCATATATTTTAACATGTTATTTGCTAATAAGTCATGTAGAGACTTAAACAAGCGACTTGTTGTTTTTTGCCAGACTTTGGAGCGGCAGAAACCATCTCATGTCAGCTAGTTGTAGTTGCCAATTTAAGCCATAAGTAGGAGTTTGATATGAAAGGATTGTATATATAAAAATGGCAGAGATATTGTTTTTTTTATAAAAAAGTAATGAAGTATAAATGAAGTTCAAATAAAGTAGTGTACGAGTGAAACTTCACTTGAACAATAGGTGAATATATTTAAATAGTTTCTATGTATATGGAATTGATTGTAAGGAGTAGAGATTTTAATCACATTTAAATACTGCTCATATTGCTATAATAATATATATTATATATATATATTATATTATATTATACATATATATACATACATATATATATATACACACATATACTGATACTGAATACTGAAATATTTTTTTTGGTCATATAATTCAATATTGAAACTGAACAACATTTGCTTATATGATATCAGTACGCTATTATATGTAATTGTATGTTTACATATATATATTATTGTAATCATTATTACTATAGATATATTTTTAATATTAATTATTATAAATATAGTTATTTAAGAAGCTTGAAGTGCTATTGTTCTTAATTCTCTAATTGTTTTTTTTTTGGATTTCTTTAGAAAATGTTCTTTACCAGGTCATTATCGGTCTATGTTTGGATCCCACACAGAACAGCTGCCTATCTATTCTGGCTCTTGATAAGGGAGGTAGATTTGTTCCGATCTTTATATAATGTGTAGTGTAATCAGCCTAGGTAGTATGTGTAGTATTATATTTGTATATTATGTTACAAAAATTTTATACATTTAATTTTATTATATTATACTATATATTAAAAAAAATGTTTTTTAGTGGAAGCAGGCTTATGTATTAAAAACTAATGCTTGCTTTCAGATATTTTAATACCAAAAAATTGAATTTCATAGCTTTTTTATTTAATTAATATAGATTAAATGTTTTTAAATAATATGTTTAAAGTATTTATATAAAAGATAAAATAATGCATGTAATAAAATATGTGAGTTTTTAAATGATTGAAATTCTTTTGTAGTATATTTCATTTAATCTAAGGTATTTGTAAGGTATTTTCAGATAGAATAGATAATAAAACCATTGCAATTTGCATAGGAGCATATCTAATTTTTTATTGCACTTCCTTCTTTCTAGATTCGTTATGCAAGTGGGGCAGAAAATATATAAAAATGTTTGAAAATTTATTACATTTTTATATGCAACACTGACAAGCGAAAAGGCATTTTGCCAAAATGAAAATAATTTTCAAATTAATAAAAATCAAAAATCGCTACACCTATAAACCGCATATATAAATTTTTACTAATAACTTAGCAATAAAAATTAAAATTTTCCAAATAAAAAAAAACAACAACTGTACTTATGAAACATTAAATTTAGTATAAGAATTTTGCAATTTTAAACTTAAACGACCTAATTTGAATAGGAGCAATAAAAGTGCGAAATTAATTTTAAAACTAATTTGCATGTGTGTGCGGTTTCCACACATGTGTGTGTGTGTGTGTGAATGCTGATGAGATACAATTTTCAAAACAAAAACCATAAAATTAGAAAATTCAATATACAATATACAATATAGAATATATTGTATAAAAAATATATATTTTTTTCTTTTATTTGGTTAAAAGTAATAAAACGGAACGTTCGAGCAAATATAAATGACCAGTTGATGAGTATGAAAGATATTCGCATGTGTGAATCTGAAGTACACATATATACCTACTCGTACTCGTAGGAATTCCTAAAGACTTCAGTTTCTGTTTTGTATATATGTCTCTTGTGTATTCTAAAATATAGAATATATTTTCATGATTTTAGAAATATTGCAGCTGCAAAATAAAACATCGAAAATAACATGTGGCAACTACGAAGTGTACGAAGAGTATATATAGCAACAAATTATTTATAAGGTGTGGTCGGTCAAGTATTGAACATGAGCTACATGCAAGGATCATCTCTGCGTATTACTGGCAGAGATGAACACAGTGATCTCTTCTCACCTACCTGTCATGGCTGTTCCGCCATGGCTGCTTAGCTGGTGTCTTTATGTAGTGTTTGCTCTTTGCATGCAACAAAAATCCTAAGATTATTAAATCAACATTTTGATTTACTTTATTTTCTTAATTTTAAATTAAAAATACGCATATGACACATAAACTTTTTGATGTATTTCTCTACTCGGTATGTGAGTCATTATGTGGGCGTTATGATTGCTTGTTTTGTATCTATAGACATGCAGGTGATATGAAAATATAAACTTAGATATCAAGAGTTCAGATATTCTTCCAAATGAATCTCATACATTTACTGCAGCATTTTAAATAACATAATATTAAAGTTTTTATTTAATTAATAATTAAGAAGTGTCAAATAAATTGTTAGCAATAATTCTAGCAGTGTATTTTATGTAAAAATTAGTCGTGTATAAAAGTTTTTGTATAAAAAATTATTTTTTAAAAACATTTTTTCTCACAGATACAAATAAATATTTTTACTGAAAAGCTTTGCAATAATTTTTGTTTTTTTTGTTCAACTAGAAATAAAATTTTTATTTTATTTTTCTTTTGTATTTTGTATGTTTTTCGTATATTTTTGTTATTCTACATTTTAAATTTTAAATAATTGTATTGAATGTCTGTGCTAAATTTAGCTTCATTTTTCCAAATGATAAAAATTTATTTAAATATTTCTTGATTGTTAATGTATTTTTTCTTCTTCTGATTTTTGAGGTTAGCAACTACCTTAGTTTTGATTAAATAATTAAATACCTATAGAGAGTCTTAAATTATTTTCTATCAAGAAGTAAATAAGTTAGTAGTATAAACATATTTTTCTGCATAAATAATATAGATAAACTAACATTTTTAAATATATAGTATAAATATATATTATAGTATACATAATAATACTGAAAATTAAATAGTTAGATGAAGTACATGAGTAAGTCAAAATATTACGTAGATTACAAGTGGATTTGTTGTGTACCTCTAGAGCTAGAGCTTAGAGCTTATATTATTAGACTTCCTTCCAGATTATATATTAATTACATATTTAACCAAAATTTTGTATAGATATTCCGAACTTATATTAGCTGGCTAAGACAATTTTTTAAAATTGTGTGATCTATAGTTTAATATATATAAGTATTTGTAATAGATGAGAGATATTTTTTTATAAAATTTTTTTTATAATTTTTATTAACTATTTTTATCATGATTTTATTTTTCTACGACTTTTCATCTGCGAAAATTAACTAATAGATTAATTTTCTATTTTACTTACAGGTTGTATTATAAACCCACAAAAAAATAAGCAAAAGAAGCATGAGAACCTCTCGCTGATAGGGAACAATAGTTTTTGTGCCCAAATTTTTTTTATTTTCTAATATGCAAAATAAAAAAAAAATTATCTATAAACAGTTCAAACCGCTTTTATTCAAAAAATCATTATCACTTGTTTATACATCTAAAAATTTGGAACTCGGTTATTGTCGGATCTGATACATCTGATATACCTAGTCACAGCTGATATCCCAGCCTATTAGTTTAGTGAAATATTAGAGAGTTAAAATTCTAATTTTTTTTCTATTTCTATATGTAGTTCAATATCAATAATCTTCATATTTTGCCTGGGACTGTATGATTAAATGCGTAAAAAATTTTGTGACCCAAATTATTCATAATCGGGTATGAATTGAGGACCGGGGGTATTATTATTGAATTTCGTAGAAAATTCCTAAGCTCGACAATGATATATATTTGTTTATATCAAGCATGTATATAAATGAATGTCAATGTTTGTGAACTATATCAGATATTCAAAAATTCTAATAATGGTTTTCATGTTTATTTTGGATAGAGTATTGCTATCCTGAACTGCAAAATACGTAACAGGATGTGTGTGCAGTGCCCTTGTTCAGTGAATCCAATATTTCTTAAGGTATATGTAAGTTATTAATATTATCAAATAATTTTATAAACAAATATTAATTATTGTTAATGAAAAATAAGAAATACAGATTAATTTGTTAGATGTTAGATTAATTAGATATCAATATATGAAACTATACATAAAGAAGGACCTGTTTATATGAGTTATGAACCAATGTATGTAAATTGGTGATACTAGAATCAATTATAAAGGTAGGTATATACAAACTTTACTTTTCCTTATTTTACTCTATTTTAAAATATTGTGAATGTATGCCGGAATTGATTCTAACAGATAGTAGATTCACTTTTCCTGATTTTATTTTATTTTCTAATACTATAAAGGTATACCGGATTGGTATATGGGATTGGTTCTAACAAATAGTAGTTGATAGTAGCATAAATATTGCTTTCTCATATAGAATCTAAATTAACTTATTTAGTTCTAATTTAGTGAAATGTTTCTATATGGTTAAAGTGCACTGCAAAGATCCATTGAGATCGCAGTACTCTAGCTTAGATGTCTAGGTACATGAGAGATAGTTTATGACTGTTCACTTTCATCGACTGATGTATATTATTATATGATAAAGTATATATATGATAACGTATTTTTTATATATTATCATAAGTTTGAACAAAGATATAAACATTTTCATATGAGATGTTATTATGTTATCAAAGTGACATATTTTACATCTTCATACGGTGTTCCATAAGTATATAACAGGCTTCGTTTAAAACTAATATTCTAATACTTTATTTAAACGACTTACAAAAAAAGTGACTAGAGAGTTTGGTGTCTATAAAAGCATTTATATAATAACTTACGTACATATAAACTTAGCACATAAACTTATTGTTTATATTTCAATGAATAAATTTCTATAAATAATTTACTGTCTTATTTAATTATAAATTATTTAAATTGTGTTTTTTAAATATAGTTATATCATATATGGTTGCAAAGATCTATTAAGATTGCAGTGCTCTATCTTATTGGAAGCTTAATCTCTATTTAATTCAAATCTCTAAAGTTTATTTAATAATCATGAAATAAGCTTAGAATTCCAAAATAAAGGTTTTCTATTGTACCCATCTATCTCGCTGGAAGTTCAAATCTCTATTAAATTCTAATCTAAATTAATATAATTCAATAGCTGTTTCAATACTTAACATGAAAGGAGTTTAGGATTTAATAGTTTCAATAGTTATTATTAGTTTCATTTATTTATGAGACTCTATATATTATTAGAAGTCACAATGATATACTGCTAACTGTATACTGCTAAATATTATGATAAAACCTTCCATAAAGGATGACTCTTAGTATTTTATTTTAGACAAGATAGATAAATATCAGAGATCTAGGCTTTTATTTGGAAAGAAGTACAGCGAGCACTATAATTTTTTTTTTTTTGAGGTGTGTGACTAATTTAATTTGTAATAAGTATTTTGTTGTTAGTCTTAGTGTCTAACTTAATTTTTTATAAAGGCTATCATTGCTAAGAAAATTATTTCAAAATACTTTATCATGTTCATATTTTTCGTGAAAAATTTCTTTGCAACTGTTTTAATAATTAAACACTGTCTGAGCTAAAAAATCCAGCTCTTCTATCATTTTCTATGAAATTTATATAATTTCCTCTGCTTTCTAGGTTTTTTCAAAGAAATAAAATAAAAATCTTTTTCTGTCATTTATAATTTTTGGCTATTAAAAATCTTTAAGCATTAATTTTGAAATAAAAATTTGTAGATGTCCACACCTAAGCCGTAAGACTGCTGCCTACATAGCCCCAGGCCAAACGAATTTTCTAAATTTGTAACGTTTACTTTTTATCTATAATTTTTAAGATGTGAGTACGTTTATTCGCTGGCTGCTTCCTATACTCTTCGGTATCTGAAGAAGTATCTCAGTGTTGTTGTGGCAACGCATTTCATGCGTACTTTTTGCATGAAAATAATTGCAAGAACACATTTACATTCTGTTTTTTTATTTTTTTTTTTGGATTTTGAATGAAGTTGCCGTGTTGTAGAAATTGTTGATGCCACAAAATGTGGCAGCAGTTGTTGTCATTGTCAATTTACATTATTTTCCTGCTGCTGCTGTTGTCTCTCTAACTTATTTATCACCAAATGCTCTTCTACTCTTAGTGCTAATATTTTTGTTGTAAATATTTAGCTTCTTCACTGCTCTTATATACAATTGAAGTTCAATGCACATCATTATTATGCGAAAATTCAATATCCGAATTTCTATCGATTATTTGATTAAGAACGTATAGGCATATAGGCATATAGGCATGACTTTTAAATAATTTTTTGAAATTTTTTTCTGTATCTAACAGTTTTGTGTATCTTACACACTTAATTTTCAAGTACTTTCTTTAATTAGCTAATTAACAAAATGACATTTACACAACTGAAATGTGTGCTGATTTCAAATAAGAATTTCGACATTTACTGCTTAGGTTTGCTCATAGTAATTTGTTGCAAAATTTCCAACAATTTCAATATATATTTATTTAATTAATTTAATTATTAATAATTTAAATATTTTTTTTTATATGATTGTATATGTATACTTACTCTTTGACGCAATTCACGTTCAACTTCAAGATCATCTTGGAGCAAACGGATTTTGTCCTGCAAAAAGAAGTCACTTATTAATTGAGCACATTTCACATTTTTATTTTTCATATATTTAAATTTTTTTTTTAATAATATTTAAATTTCATGTTAATTATTTTTTTTTTTTAATTTAAGTATTTAACAACTTATAGAATTTGTTACATAAGATCATTCCACAGTGTCGTTCACATTTGGTTCATTCGTTCACATTTTTTGGCAGCGCTTTAGCTGCGATACTTTATCATTTTTTCTTGATTTTTCCAAAGTTGCTTTTATTTTGGTTTTTAAAAAAATATATTTTTTTAAATATTTTCATTTCACATTTTCACAGAAAATTTTTTTTCTTTCCAATATTTTAAAGTCCAACGTTGTGGCTTACCTCCAAGCGCGAGAGGGCGCTCAAATCGGCTGAGTATTCGATGTTAATATCAGCCACACCGGGTCCAGTTGAAGTGGCCCTGTAGGAGTATTTTGACGAGCGTACAGCTTGGGATGAAGACATTATGTTTAAATTTCTTTATTAATTATTTAATAATAAAAATTGCAATTTTTTTATAAAAAAAAAATTTCACTTCTTTCTCGCCCGCTTATTCCTTAACGCAAGAATATATCAAAAATACCAAATATTTCTTTTTATTTCAAATTAAAGCTATCCACAAAAAGAAACGTATGTAGTTGTCACCGAGTCACCGAATAATTCGTAATAAACGTCGGAGTAAGGCTGGTGATCTACTGAACAAGAGATCCCCGTGTCGTTCGAATAAAGAGTATTTCGTGAATTTGTGCTGGCCGAAATGTGTTTTCCTTCTATTTGAACCAAATTACATTTTGAGTGGAAATTTGTTTTTCTTTTCTGTCTTCTATTTTCCTAAGTTTTCACATTAGCTTTTCGTGTATGTTGGCGTTTTTGAGTGAATTTCTGGGCATTATCTTCCATGTATCTAGAGCTGTATGAAATATATATGCCAGCTATAGTCGCACATTCGGCGCGCATATTTAATTTTATATATATATATATATAAATATATATTTTTTTTCTAATAAAATTTTCACGCTCATCTCACACTTTCGGCAGATATCTGTGTTAATTGCTCATTTATTTGCTCTTGTTGTTGTTGCTGTTGTATGGAAAATTCTTGGATTTTATTTTATTAAAAATAAAACCAAAGGAAAAGCTTTTTTTTTTGAAAATATTCTTTCATTAAATATATTTTTAAATTGACTCAAATTTTGAGTAATTACGATTTTTACCTGAGATTAGCCATCGTGAAGCTTTCTATAATTTTCGGCAACTTTATTTAAGCATACCTACATACATACATATGCATGCACACATACACACAATATGTGAAAATATTTGCAAAATATGAAAAAAAATTATTAAAAAAATATTAGTCAGCCTGAAGAGTTTAATTTTTATTTTTAGCTTAATTATTATTAAATTATTTATTTATTTATTTATTTTCTTTAGCAAACGAAAACTGTTTATAATAAGTTTCGTTCATACATAGATACTTTGTGTAAGAAAACTAATAAATTCATAATATTTCATATTTGCTGCAGATACTTTGGAGGGTCAAAGATATCTCATCACAAGTACGCAAAAATATTAAATATTCTCAAGCTATTTTGGTACATTTGTGGCGAATTAATAAACCTCAGAATGTAAATTGCTTGAGACGTTTTCGAAAATAATTATTAATGCATTAAGCCTGAAATGTATTAAAAACTAATTAATGTTTGCGAATGCCAAAAGTTTTATTTTTGTTATCAATTTTGGCTTACGTTGGCAATTCAAATGACTTTCCTTATAATGTATATACATTAAGACTGAAAAGTTTTCGGAAATTCTCATTTAAAATTCGCGCGCTGAATATTTTTCGATATTTTAAGTTTATGTAGTTTGGCAGCACTGTCCTTAATTACTATGCCAAAAATGAGCGCGATCTGTCAGACAGTTCGTTTACGGCAGCTGTTGAAACCAGTTCACCTCAGTAGTGCGTTGCGAAAATAGTCTTCGACGGTAAATAACGACCGTCCTGAAAGGCTGTTACCACTCATAAACTTGAGTTTTCGATAAAACTGATTGCCCATAAGCCTTGTGTAGCTACACAAGGATTCTGCAATCGAAATTCGTTCGAAAACACAAAATTTGATGCAAACTCTTTGTTCAATATTTTTTTCCATTGTTTTTTTCGCAACGCACTACTGAGGTGAACTGGTTTCAACAGCTGCCGTAAACGAACTGTCTGACAGATCGCGCTCATTTTTGGCATAGTAATTAAGGACAGTGCTGCCAAACTACATAAACTTAAAATATCGAAAAATATTCAGCGCGCGAATTTTAAATGAGAATTTCCGAAAACTTTTCAGTCTTAATGTATATACATTATAAGGAAAGTCATTTGAATTGCCAACGTAAGCCAAAATTGATAACAAAAATAAAACTTTTGGCATTCGCAAACATTAATTAGTTTTTAATACATTTCAGGCTTAATGCATTAATAATTATTTTCGAAAACGTCTCAAGCAATTTACATTCTGAGGTTTATTAATTCGCCACAAATGTACCAAAATAGCTTGAGAATATTTAATATTTTTGCGTACTTGTGATGAGATATCTTTGACCCTCCAAAGTATCTGCAGCAAATATGAAATATTATGAATTTATTAGTTTTCTTACACAAAGTATCTATGTATGAACGAAACTTATTATAAACAGTTTTCGTTTGCTAAAGAAAATAAATAAATAAATAAATAATTTAATAATAATTAAGCTAAAAATAAAAATTAAACTCTTCAGGCTGACTAATATTTTTTTAATAATTTTTTTTCATATTTTGCAAATATTTTCACATATTGTGTGTATGTGTGCATGCATATGTATGTATGTAGGTATGCTTAAATAAAGTTGCCGAAAATTATAGAAAGCTTCACGATGGCTAATCTCAGGTAAAAATCGTAATTACTCAAAATTTGAGTCAATTTAAAAATATATTTAATGAAAGAATATTTTCAAAAAAAAAAGCTTTTCCTTTGGTTTTATTTTTAATAAAATAAAATCCAAGAATTTTCCCATACAACAGCAACAACAACAAGAGCAAATAAATGAGCAATTAACACAGATATCTGCCGAAAGTGTGAGATGAGCGTGAAAATTTTATTAGAAAAAAAAAAATATATATATATATATATATATATATATAAAATTAAATATGCGCGCCGAATGTGCGACTATAGCTGGCATATATATTTCATACAGCTCTAGATACATGGAAGATAATGCCCAGAAATTCACTCAAAAACGCCAACATACACGAAAAGCTAATGTGAAAACTTAGGAAAATAGAAGACAGAAAAGAAAAACAAATTTCCACTCAAAATGTAATTTGGTTCAAATAGAAGGAAAACACATTTCGGCCAGCACAAATTCACGAAATACTCTTTATTCGAACGACACGGGGATCTCTTGTTCAGTAGATCACCAGCCTTACTCCGACGTTTATTACGAATTATTCGGTGACTCGGTGACAACTACATACGTTTCTTTTTGTGGATAGCTTTAATTTGAAATAAAAAGAAATATTTGGTATTTTTGATATATTCTTGCGTTAAGGAATAAGCGGGCGAGAAAGAAGTGAAATTTTTTTTTTATAAAAAAATTGCAATTTTTATTATTAAATAATTAATAAAGAAATTTAAACATAATGTCTTCATCCCAAGCTGTACGCTCGTCAAAATACTCCTACAGGGCCACTTCAACTGGACCCGGTGTGGCTGATATTAACATCGAATACTCAGCCGATTTGAGCGCCCTCTCGCGCTTGGAGGTAAGCCACAACGTTGGACTTTAAAATATTGGAAAGAAAAAAATTTTCTGTGAAAATGTGAAATGAAAATATTTAAAAAAATATATTTTTTTTAAAAACCAAAATAAAAACAACTTTGGAAAAATCAAGAAAAAATGATAAAGTATCGCAGCTAAAGCGCTGCCAAAAAATGTGAACGAATGAACCAAATGTGAACGACACTGTGGAATGATCTTATGTAACAAATTCTATAAATTGTTAAATACTTAAATTAAAAAAAAATTAATTAACATGAAATTTAAATATTATTAAAAAAAAATTTAAATATATGAAAAATAAAAATGTGAAATGTGCTCAATTAATAAGTGACTTCTTTTTGCAGGACAAAATCCGTTTGCTCCAAGATGATCTTGAAGTTGAACGTGAATTGCGTCAAAGAGTAAGTATACATATACAATCATATAAAAAAAATATTTAAATAATTAACATAATTAAATTAATTAAATAAATAAATATTGAAATTGTTGGAAATTTTGCAACAAATTACTATGAGCAAATCTAAGCAGTAAATGTCGAAATTCTTATTTGAAATCAGCACACATTTCAGTTGTGTAAATGTCATTTTGTTAATTAGCTAATTAAAGAAAGTACTTGAAAATTAAGTGTGTGTAAAACTGTTAGATACAGAAAAAAATTTCAAAAAATTATTTAAAAGTCATCATGCCTATATGCCTATACGTTCTTAACCAAATAATCGATAGAAATTCGGATATTGAATTTTCGCATGATAATGATGTGCATTGAACTTCAATTGTATATAAGAGCAGTGAAGAAGCTAAATATTTACAACAAAAATATTAGCACTAAGAGTAGAAGAGCATTTAGTGATAAATAAGTTAGAGAGACAACAGCAGCAGCAGGAAAATAATGTAAATTGACAATGACAACAACTGCTGCCACATTTTGTGGCATCAACAATTTCTACAACACGGCAACTTCATTCAAAATCCAAAAAAAAAATAAAAAAATAAAATGTAAATGTGTTCTTGCAATTATTTTCATGCAAAAAGTACGCATGAAATGCGTTGCCACAACAACACTGAGATACTTCTTCAGATACCGAAGAGTATAGGAAGCAGCCAGCGAATAAACGTACTCACATCTTAAAAATTATAGATAAAAAGTAAACGTTACAAATTTAGAAAATTCGTTTGGCCTGGGGCTATGTAGGCAGCAGTCTTACGGCTTAGGTGTGGACATCTACAAATTTTTATTTCAAAATTAATGCTTAAAGATTTTTAATAGCCAAAAATTATAAATGACAGAAAAAGATTTTTATTTTATTTCTTTGAAAAAACCTAGAAAGCAGAGGAAATTATATAAATTTCATAGAAAATGATAGAAGAGCTGGATTTTTTAGCTCAGACAGTGTTTAATTATTAAAACAGTTGCAAAGATATTTTTTACGAAAAATATGAACATGATAAAGTATTTTGAAATAATTTTTTTAGCAATGATAGCCTTTATAAAAAATTAAGTTAGACACTAAGACTAACAACAAAATACTTATTACAAATTAAATTAGTCACACACCTCAAAAAAAAAAAAATTATAATGCTCGCTGTACGTCTTTCCAAATAAACGCCTAGATCTCTGATATTTATCTATAGTATCTTGTCTAAAATAAAATACTAAGAGTCATCCTTTATGGAAGGTTTTATCATAATATTTAGCAGTATACAGTTAGCAGTATATCATTGTGACTTCTAATAATATATAGAGTCTCATAAATGAATGAAACTATTAATAACTATTGAAACTATTAAATCCTAAACTCCTTTCATGTTAAGTATTGAAACTGCTATTGAATTATATTAATTTAGATTAGAATTTAATAGAGATTTGAACTTCCAGCGAGATAGATGGGTACAATAGAAAACCTTTATTTTGGAATTCTAAGCTTATTTCATGATTATTAAATAAAC